TAGAATTGCTAAACTTTGACAAGCTATGCACCCATCAATTATTCATGATTAATACATGATCTATACCCCATGCAGTATTATGCTGGATCTCACATATTGCGTCATGCCCCCTATTACAATTTTTATGTCAACAGTACTACATATTCTTATAACAGTAAGATTGTTATTAGAAATGAAGAATAGTTCTCTCACTTATCAAAGAAGCGTCATCCAAGTATTATAGTATATCAATGAATAAAACCCTACTTCTCTAATAAAAAAAACTGGTTTTCTTAAAATGACCATGTATAACTATATAAAAAAATTAAAAAAAAATAATAATTTAAACCCTCTACCTCATTCAAGATAACCTCCCAAGTTGTCTTCCAAGGAACTCAAAAATCTTAATAAACTCGTAAAAAAAAATTCAAAAATTTCTGTTAAAAAACTTGCGTCTAAATTGAATATCAATAATCCAAACCTAAAAATATCAATAAAAACTATTAACAAGGTGCTCACAAACTATGAGCAGATGGTTACAATTCCTAAATGGATTTCTCTTCTTATCGAAAAATATAAAAATCATCACTTAGAATGGGCTAAAGCTTATGTTAATAAAAAATGGAGCTGAATCATTTTTTCTAACAAATCTACCTTCCAGATGTTCTATAATATGACCCAAGTTCATTACATGGCTGGTACAGAATAGCCACAACATCCTATAGTTAAGCACCCATATAAGATTCATATGTGGAATGCATTTTTAACAAGAGGTATTGTTGGTTTTTATATGTTTACTCAAAATATGGATGGAAAGTTCTACCATTAAATTTTCGCAAATAATCTTGCTAATATATAAACTGTAATGGATCGTGGTTGGATTCTTCAACAGGATAATGACCTTAAGCATATGGCAAAGGCAACGAAGTAATTTTTAATCGATTCTTATGTACAGGTTTTAGACTGGTCATTAAACTCGCCAGATCTTAATCCTATCAAAAATTTGTAGACAATTTTTTTTTTAAAAAAAAAAGTTGAAAAAAATATTAATAAGAAGATGCAAGGAAAAAAATCTATTATGTCTACCAAATTTAAAGAATTAATTAGATCAAAATGTGTGGGTCTTAAAAAAAGCATACTGATTGGATTAGTAAAAAGTATGCCTTATTATTTGGAAGAGCTAGTAATCAAAAATGAACATAAAATAAATTACTAAAAAAAAATATTAGTTAGTACAATAGTTTAGCTAATTTTTTTTTTTATATAATAAATATATATTTTTTTAAATAAATAAAAATAAATTTACAATTCTTATTACTTATGGCTACCACTATAAATTGCAAAAAATTTTATAGATAGTTTATTATTATAATTATATTAAAAAAAACTTTTTTAATAATAAGGGACATTTGAATTATATCTTTGTCTTTAATTTAAGGACCCATTTTTAGTTATTATATCACTATTATCTGATATAAAATGGAAAAAAAACAAAACAACAAAACAAAATCAAGATATTATATTCTATATCTTAATTTTTATAAAGTTTTTAACACTTTAAAATTAACAATAATTTAATAAACACATTTTTATTTCTACAATAGTATTATTATTTTGAATAGGTATTTGCTGTTCAGCACTATTAATATAAATTCATCTACTTGGAGCCAGTTGGAATTAAAAATCATTAACATAATAGCTATAAACTTTTGTTTAATAAAAGTCTTATAATTAATGCTTGTTCATGATTAAAAAAAATACAAAAAAAATACAAAAATAAAACAAAAATAAAATTATCTAATTTGTATAAAATTTAATAAAAATTTTTAAATTCTTTTGTTTTTAATAAAAAGATAATAGATTACAATGAATTCATTTGTATAAGTAAATATAAAAATTATAAAATATAAAAAGAATTAAAATATAAAATAGTTCTTATATGATTTATTTTAAATAAATACTTTATAATATATTGAATTATTAGAAAGTCAAATATACATATACAGTATATTAATTTATTGGCAAGCAATAATTTGATTACTTTTTTTTATTAAAAAATTTAAATTCAAAAAATATTTTATTGATATTTTTTTTAATAATATCAATTTATTAAAATAAATGTTGTCAATTAATTAACTTTTAATCTTAAAAAGTGTTAATTTCTTATTTTTTTTTGTTTGATATATTATATTTTATAGAGGTCTTTTTATTGTTATTAAGTAAATTTCTACAATAAAATAAAATATGTTTAGCCTAATATTTCTCATTACGTATATTTACTATTTTTAAAAAATAATATATTGGCAAACTAACATATACACGATACCGATTAAGAAACAATATAATAGATAAAATAAAAATAAAAGCAAATAAAAGCAAATTAAAAAAATATATTGTTAAAGTACTTTAAGCTATCCAAAAAATTTGTACAAAAAGGATTCCTCGACCTTCTTATAATGATTTTCCTTAGCAGCAAACAAATTAAGCATTTTCACTTTGACATACAGTATGATTATATCTTTATGGAGTTCCCAGTTGTCACAATTCTTTTTTGACTTATTTACCTTGATTGAAAAGCTAAAATAGTCAAATTTTATTACAATACTTAATTTAATACACGAAATACGATTAACAAGGTAGCTGCTCTTTTGGTTTTTCATGATCATAAAAGAAAAAATCATAGAACGCTCCACCAGCAAGCGAGCCAATAAGTGGAACAACCAAGACAACCCAGAAATAATAATTATTCGATCTCCAAATTTCAGAACCGTAAATTATCCAGAGAAATAGTCGAGCACCGATGTCACTAAATTGAAAGATTAAATAATTTCATGTCATGTCATTCGTTAGAAGAATCACTAACGTATTTAATGAAACACATACCGAGCGGAGCTTACGGCAATTCCTTCGTAGCCAACACCAATGCCCAGCAGAAAAGCTACCAATCCAACAAGTAATGGAACTAAAACTGGAGTAGAAGCAACCATCTTTTTAGGATCAGACAGACCGAAAACGAGTAGAATGAGGATGGCATTGGAAATGAATTCGACCCTATAAAATTATGAAGCTTAATATAATTCTATATAGACCCCTGCAAATACAATATTTATACCATATTATATATCCAGTGCTAACATAATTGTTAGGTGTTGCCACATATAGAGATGCAAATTCAAAAGGACCATCAGTGTTAGCAAGAGAGGTGCCATTGAAAGGAGAAATACTACTTGTAACATTATGAACTGTGGAGTAGAAGCACAAGTAAGCCATTCCAGTACCGATGAAGCCACCGACAGTTTGTGCTAGTACATAAAGGGGAGCTATAAAATTGTTTAAGTTAGTATGACTTTATATTAGAAAACTGACGTGTTTTGTCTAATTACCAAGTTTCCACGGGAATTTGCGAAAAACAGTGAAAACAAGGGTTAAATTTGGGGTTGCATGGCCACCCGAAAATGGTATACCAAAATAAATGGCTAACATGATACCGACGGCGATAGAAAGTGACACATTAAGCCGACCAGATATTGGATTTTGCTGTTGACTTAGTGAAGACATTCCAACACTAGCATAACATGCGTGTAATTTAATCAATACATAGATGAGTAGGGGGAATATATAACACATCTAAATGTCAAAGTCTGTTTAACTAACAATAAAGTGGCGCCATCACCGAAAAAACAATATAAGAAAGTAGCAACACATTCAGAAACCAGGGGTCGAATAATTTTATTTCTCTTGGCTTCCCAATTAAGTTGCCATTCAGACCCTTCGACTAAAGGAAATAATTCTTTTTTTTGTTCCAAGTCAGAAGACATATTGCTTCGTTATTGACCTTTCTCACAAGAATTGAATTAGTTATATATGATAATCATCGCAAATCCTGGTTTAAATAAGGTTGTACGGCCAACTTATTTGTCAAGATTTCCAATGGTTAATTATGTTATTAACTTTGAATGCTGTAAAAAAGAATACATGTACAGTATACCGTTTTTGACACCGGAACATAAATCTTATTTGGTAACTATCAACTCGGAATACTCACTAGATTACGGTATCTCAATAATAAAAAATGGGTTTAGCGCATAATTTTTCTTGATCACATGTCAATATTATGAAAATCAAATCTACATACTGTAACTTTCGAGTATGAAAAATGCATATCTCAAATAACACTGGACCCAATTTTGTTTTTATACTTTTATAGAACTTAAATACAGTATTTCATGTTGTTTAACAAATATGTATCGACAAGTTAATTAGTTAAAATCAATATTTATAACAGTATACTGTACACGCCAGCGAGCCATCGCTACTCTTTGTGTGACGATAATCCGAAAACCTGGATTAGGAATGTAAGGCATTAACACTGAAGGGTTTTACTGTATATTATTAGATCGATTTTTTTACGCTTGCTAATATCATATCCCTCTAGCCACGTTCCTCGATATTGCAAGAATCTTGACACATGTGACGAAGGTACTGTAACTACAGTTTTTAGTTAAAGGCCTGTATCTTTATTATCGAGACATACTTAGAATTCAAATTTAAGTTTTTAAGTTAGGTTTCAAGTTAATTCATTATTCTAAAAACTATTAAATTCTACTCCTATTTATATGCCTTGGACAAATCTTCCTCACATTCATTATTTAATACTAATTTGCCACTATTGTCATGTCACTTGATGCGTCAAAATAAGGATATTGTTAGCGGTCATTTAAATACATATAGATAGTCGATTAAGGTGTGATTAACATTGATTGAGTTTGTGAATTTATAATGTTATCGAGTTTAGAATAGTGTGTCCAGGCTACTGCTGCAATAACGGTCAATTTCTGCCGCGATGATCATCAACAAATACAACTCTGTATAAAAAGCACTTTATAACTAAATTTTAAGTTCGATTAGTCTTTTGCTTCTTTTAATCCTTTAATATTTGTAATCGATAAGATTTTATATGAGAGTAGATTTTTTGTTAGCAATAAACTATCCATGAATATTAATACTAGTATATGTTTATTAATAAAACTATTGTTATCGATCAATAGCATTATAATATAGTGATTTAACATTACAACAGAGTTTTCTAAAAGACATCTACGATCATTAAAAATACTTCTGTAGGCTAAAAAACTACATTCGACATCTACACCTGAAACAAGTAACCAAATATATAATAATGCTATTTTAGTTAAAGTGGGTAACATATTTCTTTTTCTAACCAGTAATTATTCAAATCAAAATTCTTATCAAATTTTTTTCATAAATTACAATATATTCTTCACTCATTAATTAGATTATTATTCACTAATACAAATTTATTAATTTCTTTGTAACTATTTAAGCTATGTCTATTATTTTGAACTTGTATAAATTTTGGATTAAAACATTTAATTGCTTTAAAAAATTTTTTTATTAAGATACTCAATAAGCTTTTTAAACTTAATTAAAGCCAAATTATATCTTTAGGAAAATTTGATATATAATTATTAAAATTAATATTAGTTAATTGACATTTTTCAATTAAATTTGTATTTAATAGTAAATTCATTGTACTATTTTCTAATTCTGTACAAGTATGTTTTAATCTGTAAATATAAAGTGCAAACAGGTTTATTTTGAATTTTAAAAAACTATAAATCAGTGACTAATCTAATTGATAAAAAAATTTATATTAGTATAATTATATAAATAATATAAATAAACTTAACCATCTTACTGTTGTGCATTAAATGTAACAAATAATAATAAAATTTCAAAATCAAAAACTTAAATATTGTTACAAAAAATCTGAGCCAATTTTTTAATCATTATATTGTTATTATCAATCTTTCCTTCTTTTTAATAAAAAGTAACAAGAAAAAAAATAATTTGATTAATCTAAAAAATGAATTTAAATCAAGAATTTCATCTTGTTTTCATAAAGTAAAAAAGGTAAAGTATTTGTATTTAAAGAAAAATAATTAATCTATATATATTTATAGATTAAACAATAACTAAATAAAGTTTTAATAAAAGAAACAACTTTATCTAATAATTTAAAATATGAATAATATAACCATGTCCCTTCTACTAAATTGTAAATATGTATTAAACATATATCATAATACATAATATGAAAAAAATATTTTGATTTTGAAAAGATAACTTGCATTATCAGAAATATAAAATATATCATTTTTATAAAAAATATTATATAATTAAAAGGTAATCATAACAAATTAAGAAATAATAAAATTATTTATTTTGCAAAATGTTTAGTTGCAACTAATTTTATTTGATTTTCAAAATAACAAAACTTTTAAAAATATTATAAGTCTTTTAAGTTCCAATTATATTTTAATTAAATAAGAATATCATTTATTCTTAGTATATATTTTTTTTATTCTTTTATTATATATATTATTTTTTTTATTCTGAATATTCCCAATATTCAATATTTATTTAATTTTTTTTTATAACAATATATAGATTAAGTATTATAAGAAAATAAATTATTGCAAAATAAAAACAATAAAATAATATTATATAGTTATAATATTTAAAATACAATATTTTAATTCTTTTTTTTTTAAAGTAGATAAACATCATCATTCTATTAATTGTAAATTGTTTAAAATTTATATGTGGAGAAAGTAACAATATATTTTATATAACTTGCTAAACTAATAAGTTTAATTCTAGCTTGTCTACAGAAACTATCTAAATAACATGAAAAATAAATACAATATTTTAATTTATAAAAAATAGATAAATATATTTTGAATATTAAAAAAATAACTTATATTAAATTTTATAAATTTTTGGATATTAAATTTTTGATTAATAATTTGTTCTTATATCTATAAAAAAAATTTTTTTGTACAAAAAATTAATAAATTTCATAATCACAATATTTGTATAATATAGAAATAAATTTTTGATAAATTTTATTGATTTTATTTTTTAATTAAAATAGATATATTTTTAAAATGATTTTTTTTAATATTGTAAAAATAAAAAAATATAATATAATTAAAATAATCTTATGATTATAAAATTGTTTTAAATACATTTTTATAATTATAATTTTTTTCAAATAAATAAATAAAATAAAATATATAAATATTATATAAAACTTAATCTTTTAATATATATATATATATAATAAGTAATTATCAGTTAAGTTTTTTTGAAACTCTTTTCTATATACAACATTTTTTCTAAAAATTTTTTTATAGTAATTTTTTTAAAATTAAAGAAACAGTTTTTTTATCTTTATCTTTCAATATCCAAAACTTCTTTACATTTCTTTTATCTTTACTACAGGAACCTCAAGAAACCTAGAAAAGTATATTGATGCATTGAAATAGAACCTCTGACCAGGAAAAAACAAGTTTGTGACCTTGATTTTTTTTTTAATTATATAATGAAAGGCCTATAACAATTACTTTTTTATAAATTTTCATTAAAGTTTTTTCTATTTATATTTCTCATTAAAAAACAATTCTTATTAAATAACTATTTTTTGTTCTTAAAGAACTGTTTTTTAACTCAAAAAATCAAACTTTACATTAATATTGTTTATATTATTAATCTGAAGTACCAGCAATATATACAATACTTCCTTTTCACTATTGCTTAGCATAATATGCTATACTACAAAAATTTATTTAAAAAATTTCTGATCAAAAAACTATAATCAGGTTACTCCTGTCAACTAATCATTATTTCAAACTCAACCAATCAAATATTACCAAATATCAAAACAAATTCATACAATTAAAATATCACACAATGATTAATATAAACAAAATCAGTTTTGGCAACTTAATTTAAAACAAAATCACACTACTGACTTATAAACCAATCATTTTATCAAACATTAATTATATCAATACTATAATAATAACAATTACAATAACAAACCAAAACATATGTACTTTATTATTTGTATCAATAAAGATTATACTTATAAGTAGCAAAGAACTGAAAAGATAGAACAACAAGCCTAATCAGAGGTTCTTTTAAAAATATTGATTTTGTTCTAGTTTTAATTACTCTTAATTTTTTTTCTTTTTTTTTTCTTTTTAAATTTTCTTTTATCTTATACTTTTTTTTCTAAGTAGATAAGCTTAGCTATTACATGATCTATATTTAGCAACAATATTGTTTTAATATTTCTTTTTAATATTTTCTATTCATAGTATTAATAGTTATGCTAGTATTAAACTTGTTATATGCTTTGTATTATAGAGATGTTGATTCTTTCTAAATATATATCTTGTAATATACTAATAAATAAATAATTGATATTTATCTATTGTTATCAATATATAGCAAATTTGTCATTAATCTGGACCAAATCATCATGTAATGATAGGTATGTAGGGGCTTGTGTCACTTGCTAACCAGAGACACTTATTAATAAACCCCCTTCTCTTTTATTATCAGTCTAATCCTCTGCCACAATCCTTTATGGGCTTTTAGGATTCCTATAGTGGCTAATATTCAATTAAGACAAGTTTATTAATTATAGTGGCACAATTGCAAATATTACAAGTTTATACAATATAAATATTAACTAACTATTTTAACTAGCTAAATCCTTCCTATTTATATCCGCCACAACACATATGCTAATCTACCATCGTATTCTGCAAATCCCTAATTATACTATTTAGACTTCTTGATACAGGACCTAATGAATTGCGTCATGTCACGTAACTATTGACAATCCTAATGACCCATACATTTTTCACTGCTAACACTATAGAAAATATATATATATAATATAATAAATATAAATACAACAAAATAAATAAAAATAAAATAATTT